TACACCGGTTGTTTCAAATTTGATTCTCATTATTAGGATCTCGGACACGATAAGAGACAAGTCGTGTAAATGGGCGTACATATATACTAAGTGACATATAAATCCGAACACCCAGTTTAAATGGTTTTATTTTAATAAAAGTTGGTGAATGTATTCATCTTACTGTAAATAACAAGTGAAAAAATTTTCAGCCTTATCAGTTGGACATTCCGGTTTTTATACTGCTTTTTTTTAATTCACGAACGCTCTAAAAATGAATATTTCAGCCGCAGCAAAGAATCAACGTTGGCGGATTTTGGTTCTTGACATCCTTTACGATCGGTTACGATGCCTAGAGTACGGAGACCTGTACGATTTCGTCAACTTAGTGAGTTTGATAGGGGCCGTATAGTGGGACTTCGGGAAGCTGGACTTTCTTTTCGGGCAATTGCAGTTAGAGTGCAAAGAAGTGTAGACACTGTGGTTAGGTGTTGTCAGGCATGGCTTCGAGAAGGCCGTACGCAAAGAGCAAGGGGCACTGGACGCCGCCGTAGAACAACAGACCGTGAAGATCGCCGCCTAAGATTATTGGCCTTAAGGCACCGTTTCTCCACTACCAGGTCCATTGCAAATGAATGGTTTGCAGAACACGGAAGACCTATTGGCATGCGAAGTGTTTACCGACGAATGAGAAGTTTTGACTTGTTTTCATACCAGCCACACTGGGTCCTCCCTTTAACTCGAGAAAACCGACGTAATCGCCTTGACTGGTGCAGACAACGGTCACTCTGGGATCAGGAATGGAACAGTATTGTCTTTAGTGACGAGTATCGATTTTGTTTAGGCATGCACGATGGTCGTGCCAGGGTTAGAAGGCGACGTGGTGAAAGGAGGAATCCACAGTTTTTTGTTGAAAGACATGTTCATCACACTGTTGGAGTTATGGTTTGGGGTGCTATAGCTTATGGTTCCAGGTCACCTTTATACTTCATCATAGGTAACATGAACGCGCAGCGTTATATCCACGAAGTTCTAGAACCCCATCTTTTACCCTATCTTGACACCCTGGCAGATCCAACTTTCCAACAAGATAATGCCCGACCACATGTTGCAAGAGTCACAATAGACTTCTTTCAACATAATGATGTCACATTGTTACCATGGCCACCAAGATCTCCCGACTTATCCCCAATTGAGCACGTGTGGAATATGATGGGTAGGAGATTGCTCAATTTGCAACGTCCTCCTCAGACTCTAGAAGCACTTCGAGAGGAGTTGGTGGTTGCCTGGAATGAGATACCACAGGAGGACATTGACCACCTGATCAGAAGCATGCCTAGGCGCGTTGGAGAATACGTAGCACATCAGGGTGCATCCACACATTATTAAAGGTCAACGGGCTTTAAAGCAGTGCAATCATTTTGAAATTTTTATCATTTATTTATTATGCTTCATTAAGTACTTATACAAAATTTTATTAAAATAAAACCATTTAAACTGGGTGTTCGGATTTATATGTCACTTAGTATACTTCCGGAGAGAGACGGAAAAAATCGAATTTTCTCAAAAACAATTAAATTTTTCCCTGACTTCATTTTTGATGGGATTTTACAATAAATTGTAAATCAACATTACCTCTTTTTCTCCTCTACAAGATGGCATAATTAGATTTAAATATGACGTTCTTAATTAAATGATTCCAAGAATGTCTAAAACAGAACTTCCTAGGTAGGCCTTGAAATTATTAGCCATTTGTTTCGATTTCAAAATAAATTGCATGTCATCGCCACTTCTTCTTCTCTTATACATGATGGAGTACTCAAATTTTCGATTCGAGGTTCCTTCTTTCGACTTACGACTATTTAAATACTGCTAGGAATAATAATGCACTAATTATACATGTATATGTGAAATTTCTGGTGACATAAATAAATGCATTATACTCATAACTAAATGCAGAACCAAGGTCTGTGTTCGATTGCCCAAAATTTTAATATGGAGTCCATAAGAAAAAACAAAGTTAATGATGGAGATCGAAAGCAGAAATTTACAATTGAAAGTTTGACTGCACCTTCTTGTAGAAGAGAAAGACTGGCAATGGTAATATGTAATTTATTTTAAAATCCATGCCAAATAAAACTAGGAAATAAACGACGACGTGAATGCTGGAGTACAAGATACGAAACGTCAAATTGAAATTGAAAATATACAATTTTGTAGAGGAGAAAATGTATCAATGTTTGACGAGCAATTTATTTTGGAATCCCACTACAAATAATTTTTGAAAATTCTGTTTTTTCCGTCTTTCTCCGGAAGTACTTTGAACTTTGAACACTGTTTCTGAGATGAAAATGGTGAGGGCCAAATTTAAAATAGCCAGTATACTATTTTCTTTAAAAAAAACTAATGAACCTGGACGATTAGATAAAAAACTGAAGCCTAAAAGGATCATGTCTATGGTAACATCTCAAATTTAAAGTTATAGAGTCTATTTAATTTTTGCATCCAAATTTTAGCTTTTTACTTGTTTTTGGCCGGCAGTACCACCGCCACTGAATCGATTTTCAAACAGTCGTACAGACATTCAAGTGAGGGACATGGTTTTCGTGATGTATGTACATCTCATGTTTTTAAAACTAGATAATTTAAAACAATATGACAGTCATCGTAACACTAAATATGTCTTCATAAACATTCGCGTCCTGAGTGATACCAATTCCAGTTTTTGCAATTATAATGCTTCGTCACTATTATTTGGAGTGCCATTCACAATGGGTAAACTCGAGTACTAGTTAAATCCTAAAACGGAATTCAACTTGAATATTCATATTTCCAAAATAGTTGTTAAATTAAATATTCGAAATTGCTTCTTCCTGGTATTATGTTCACAAATAAGTAAATGTCAAGGCGAATTGCATTGTATCAATTATAAGGAACGAAGCCTACCTATATGTATGTTTTTAAGTGGAAGTACATACGTGTTAGAAAATTCGATTTAACTGAACGGTATATCTCTGGGTGGGCATAGAAATATGACGAAAAGTCTTATATCTACATTACACTTAGTCGGTGCAAAACTTGTTATAATTTAGTTATGTTTTATGGGGTATTATGTTCGGCTTAGGTTAGATTCTATGAGAGAAAAGATGGCTAAGAACAAAAAAATAAATGTATCAAGTCAGTCAAACAGGTTCTTGAAATCAAGATTTGCTCGTCTGGCATGATTTTCTGTACAACTCTGGGGATGCTCGGGCTTTCCCACCTTTCCTTTAGAAATTTGTTACCTCGCTCTTGATAGAGTTTTGGAGGCAGGCACACTTCCACAAAAGTTATCGCTTTTCGAGGAAGGCCCTCCTCAAAAAAATTCATGTGAACGTTGTTATAACTAACATTGCCGTTCGTCATGTACGAGGTTTCTAAATTAAGTGATGAGGCTGATTTTTTTTTATTTGTTTATTCAATATAATTACAATGTCTCACTGTCACCTTCAAAATAACTTCCTTCTCACAGCGCTGGAGCTGGTTCTTCCACTTCTTATAAAAGGAACTCTGATAGTGGAGTAGCCTTCAGGTGGTCGGTTACAACCGTTTGAATGTTGTCGGCTAAATCAAAATGAGCTGATTTATCCACTTCAGGAAAGGAAAAAAGTCACAACAACTCAGGCGAATAAGGAGGCTGAAGAGTCACAGGGATGTTTTTGCTGGTCAAAAACCCGTTTACTGACATTGCTGTGTGACAAGGAGCATTATCGTGATGCATCATCCAGTTGTTCTTGATCTGATGCACGGTGGTGTGAGTCAAATTTTACCTCTTCACCGATCATTCAGACTGTCAACCGACAATCTAAAAGAAAAGGATATCGGATTCTGTCGATCTTTTCATCGGTTGTTGAGGATGGAGGCCTGCCGCTTCGTGGTTCATCTTCAATCGATCCTCTCTTAGCTGAAAATGCCTTTAACCACCGAAAAACGTGGACTCTTAACAAAACACTATATCCGTAGGAATGCTGAAGTTTAGCAAAAGTTTCCGCTGTAACAATTTTGAGAACACAGTACAAAAATCGCTACGAGCAAATGACTCGAGCGAGTTCAAACTTGTACTGAAGGCGGATCACATGTTCCCCTGTCTCCCCTCCAAGCTCGGTGCCTCCAGTGTTGAATGATCGAAAGCTACGTTGCCAGTCTCATTACTTAATTTACAGACCTCGAATGGCAGTTGTACAGCAGTCACTCTGTGTTTCCAGAGACTAGTTTGTTGAAAATACTTCTCCTCATTTCAATTACAGTATGAGAAAATCTATGATGTCTGAACTAACGTCAAAAAATTGAGACATACCCTCCCACACTCTCTATATTCCCAATTTTTAACTCTCATAAAAAACATGTTAAAAAGGATCAGAAGACTCGGAAACAGCATAAAGAGAAATTTAAGTAATGTTTATTTTATCCGTTCTATACCTCCGCCACCACTGGGCTGATTTTCAAAAAATATAAAGCTTTTTCGCTCTTGGTATGGTAGAGGATTTGTCTTGGAAGTTTCATCAAAATATGTGTGATACTTTCCAAGTTACAGACAGGAGAAGGATTAGCGATTAACGGATAGACAAACTGACATATCGATCGATAGACAAACTGACAGACAGTCCGAGAGACAGACAGACAGGCAGACAGAGAGATATACAGACTGATAGACAGACACACAAACAGACCGACAGGCAGACCGATAGGTAGACATACCGATAGATAGACAGACCGACAAACAGACCGACCGATAGACATATCTACGGAAACGAGTGGCTTGGTATTTCGTGATATATACACATCCTCGCATGGTCTGGGTAGTAAAAGAGGGTGCATGAAAAACTTGATATAACATCCTATAATTTTTCTTTAAAATTTCTTCCATAAATGGTCATACAATGGAGCTAGAGAAGGGCTTAGTTTATAGCGGGACACCCGTACTAATACGAGTATTTTGCCCTATAAAGAAAGACGTTTTTAATTTTAATGCAAGTGGTGTAGTCTAAGGCAGTTTGAGCTATCACAGTTGAATGTGACAGTAAAGCAATGAACTATGACCAGGAAGATTAAAAAAACGGCGGATATACAAATTGGCCAAAATAATAGCTCGCTCTATGATTAATCACATTGTTGTGCAAATCACCTGGACGATTGTGACAAAATCGAATACATTATCATGCCCCATGGTATGCTAAGCCACCGTTGAAAAATACCGTATTGCTTATCAGGGCATTTAGTTGTTAATGGTCGGCGTAAGGTAATTGTACATTACCGAGGCGCGCATGAGATCACGTGGTGGGGTGAAGAACGATAGTGGAAACGACTCAAAATGGCGCTGGTACTCAAGCGGCTCTATCAGGGGTACTTCTGGGTATTCACCGAAAAAGCTGGTAAGAACAACGTACTTGTACAGCCTTAAGCAGTAACCATTATTATAAAACAAAACAAAAATTCCAACTGTGGCAACTGAAAAAAATGAAAGTTAAAAAACCGCCGATTTTATGAAATTTTAATACGTAAAGTCAAGACAAACCTAGAGACGCTCGTCAGATATGTCCAAATTCATCAAATCGTTTAATCTGTAGCCCATGAAAGAGACATTTTCGGTTACAATGCGCTATTTTAGTGGGGGTGTTCAATACGGTATTTCTGGACATACTCGAACGCGGAAATACCTTGCATCCTTTTGACTGCCTTCACCATATATAAGCTCATAACAGAGTACATCCAAAGCAGCGTGACATTATCGAACGCGACCGATTTTCTTTTAATTTTGAAGGAAAAAGGTCAAGAATAACGTATATATTCTGCCGATATCAACAAGCCCAAAAAATAACACATCTAATTTTTTAGTTGGGGCTAGACCCCCTAGCGGTCATTTTAGGAAGCTGAAAATGATTTCCAGATATTTTTCTTGGCCACTTCGTTATGATTTCTTTTAGCCAATAACCTTTAAGTTGAGTGGTTGCCAAAATACAGCCGACGTCCTTTATTGATGGCCAACCAGGTATAAACCAGCAGATAATCATACCTCTATATCAGAGACGCGTAGCGGATATGCATATCAATATTTGACGCGCTCGAGTAACTTTTTTTTTTAGATATTTGACCTGTTGACGCTTCCCCTCCATTAAGGGTGTTTCAAATTTGACACTCATTGGGGTCTCAGAAATGATAAAAGATACGTATAAGTCACTTGAATGGGGGAAATTTACGTCTTTAACTGGCAAAAGATTAAAAAATCAAGGTAGTTCAGGAGAGAGACGGACATTTTTTTGCCTAAATCGTTTAATTTTTTCCTGATCTCATTAGTAGTGGGATTTTAAAATACATTACACATTAGTATTGCGACTATGTATGTCTCCTCTACTAGACAATGTAATAGAAATTTCAATGTGACGATTAGTCTCTGGTCCTCGAGCATCAACTTTATTTTTTTCTTATAGATGCCATATTGGATTGCGCAGATGAATAGAGTTTTTAATAGCGATTTCAAAAATGAACATAAAAATATATTTCGAACATTAACATTGCCAGAGCGTAGTTATTCCAAAACAGAAGTTCCTAGGTAGTTGCTATACCTGACGTCGCAACGAAAGATCATTATTGATAGGGTTCATTTTCACAAACTAGCTGTAATTAACGAGAACCTATTAGTACTGTAGTCCTATCTTTTAATGACTAAACATAAGGACTACGTATAAAAAGATAAAAAAATAGATACTTTTTTGTTTAATATACCTATGTATTAGCCTTAGTCTTGAATTTTACATTATGTATAGCTTATTTAGACATTTATGAGAATCACAGTGAAATTGTGGTTCAATAATCTGGGAATCAGATTGCGTGTATAAATGCCAATGACGTTAATGCACATTATACATGTTTGTTTCATTCGAATTTATTATGTACTGCATTATGATTGAGTATGAATAACCGATGCATATAATTTCCACTTTTTCTACTTGCGTAGGTTGGTATATTTATGCAGGGTGTTCCGTGAAGAAACTGTCATAGTGAAATGGAAATTTCCATATCTGAGAATAAAAACGCTATAAATTCATTTTTTTAATTTTTTTTTTATAATTTTTTTAATATCACATTATCTCAGGAGATGTTGACCCAACTCTAATTTAATTTTGCACAATAACAATGTTACCTGCCTAAGAAAATCTGGGGCCGGCCTAGGTTTTTTTATCTTTTGTATTTTATCGAAATCAATACCTTTCAAGCTGAATACTGAAAAGTTTGGTTATGTATAAAAAACCCAATGATACTGGTTTATAAGACATATACATATATTATTCACGCCTCTTTTGGTTTATCAGTTGAACATTTTTACTTATTCAAATATCTTGACTTTATGTGAAATAAAATTCAAAGCTTCCATCGTTACTGATGAGATTTCATTAATATACTAAGTGACATATAAATCCGAACACCCAGTTTAAATGGTTTTATTTTAATAAAATTTTGTATAAGTACTTAATGAAGCATAATAAGTAAATGATAAACATTTCAAAATGATTGCACTGCTTTAAAGCCCTTTGACCTTTAATAATGTGTGGATGCACCCTGATGTGCTACGCATTCTCCAACGCGCCTAGGCATGCTTCTGATCAGGTGGTGAATGTTCTCCTGTGGAATCTCATTCCAGGCAACCACCAACTCCTGTCGAAGTGCTTCTAGAGTCTGAGGAGGACGTTGCAAATTGAGCAATCTCCTACCCATCATATCCCACACGTGCTCAATTGGGGATAAGTCGGGAGATCTTGGTGGCCATGGTAACAATGTGACATCATTATGTTGAAAGAAGTCTATTGTGACTCTTGCAACATGTGGTCGGGCATTATCTTGTTGGAAAGTTGGATCTGCCAGGGTAAAAGATGGGGTTCTAGAACTTCGTGGATATAACGCTGCGCGTTCATGTTACCTCTGATGAAGATTAAAGGTGACCTGGAACCATAAGCTATAGCACCCCAAACCATAACTCCAACAGTGTGATGAACATGTCTTTCAACAGAAAACTGTGGATTCCTCCTTCCACCACGTCGTCTTCTAACCCTGGCACGACCATCGTGCATGCCTAAACAAAATCGAGACTCGTCACTAAAGACAATACTGTTCCATTCCTGATCCCAGAGTGACCGTTGTCTGCACCACTCATGGCGATTACGTCGGTGTTCTCGAGTTAAAGGGAGGACCCAGTGTGGTCGGTATGAAAACAAGCCAAAACTTCTCGTTCGTCGGTAAACACTTCGCATGCCAATAGGTCTTCCGTGTTCTGCAAACCATTCATTTGCAGTGGACCTGGTAGTGGAGAAACGGTCCCTTAAGGCCAATAATCTTATGCGGCGATCTTCACGGTCTGTTGTTCTACGGCGGCGTCCAGTGCCCCTTGCTCTTTGCGTACGGCCTCTCGAAGCCATGCCTGACAACACCTAACCACAGTGTCTACACTTCTTTGCATTCTAACTGCAATTGCCCGAAAAGAAAGTGCAGCTTCCCGAAGCCCCACTATACGGCCCCTATCAAACTCACTAAGTTGACGAAATCGTACAGGTCTCCGTACTCTAGGCATCGTAACCGATCGTAAAGGATGTCAAGAACCAAAATCCGCCAACGTTGATTCTTTACTGCGGCTGAAATATTCATTTTTAGAGCGTTAGTGAAGTAAAAAAACAGTATAAAAACCGGAATGTCCAACTGATAAGGCTGAAAATTTTTTCACTTGTTATTTACAGTAAGATAAATACATTCACCAACTTTTATTAAAATAAAACCATTTAAACTGGGTGTTCGGATTTATATGTCACTTAGTATATTTGACAGAATAATGCTTATAATCGAACTAAGTAAATTGGAAACCCAAAATTCCGAGCCCGGTTCTAGTTTCTTTTTATGTCTCTGTATTTCATTTAGTTCAACGCCATTTACAAGTTTATTGTTATTTCAAATAAATAGAAGCAATAAATAATGTGATAAAAGGTAAAAGTAATGATAGCCTACTTATACTGCCGGTAATTTTTTTTATGGCTCTACCAACTGACATTATATAACATGAGCACTGCTTAAAATGGAAACTGCATATAGTATGCAAATTTACTAAATTTGATCCAGGCCAACTCAAATTGAGTAACGAATACACAAAGACGTAGTATACAGCTACGGACTTGCGATTTCATTGTCTTCTATTCGTCATTTGTTTGTCTGGGCGGTCCGTAGGACCTTTGCCCATTAATCACTGTCTGTACGTTAGTCGAATCTGTCAGTCCTGGTTGCCCAGAAACCACACAAAGTCAAGGAAAAAGAGAAAGGGGAAGAGAAGAAAAAAGGAGAAGAGCAAAGAAAAACAGATATGCTTAGTTTAAGAGGAAACACCTAGGCTTTTTGACTTGGTACACGGATTAATTTTGAGGTGAACTAAAGAAATTTTTTGATTCGGTTTTGTTAGAGTGCGAGCCATGGCCTTCAATGTTTACGAACCTGCTCGACTGTATAGTCCACTGAGTCACGCAACAGAGGGTTGCTGTGCGATTCCGCTTGACTATAACGTCGCTGCGCCTGAAGCTTGACATAATCCCTCAAGTAAGGAATGTCAAGGTCTCTGTGTAGTGTCTCATTTGAGACATACCATGGAGCGTTGCAAATGGTCCGCAAAGTTCTGCTTTGCAGTACTTGAACAATTTGCATGTGTGTTTTGGCAAGAAAACACCAAGTCGCACAAGCATAAGTAATGGCTGGTCTAATAATCATTTTATATAGTCGATCTTTGTTTATCAAACTCAATTTGGAGGATCTACATAACAAAGGATATAGTTGCCGAAACGCAATTTGGAATTTTGTTTTTATGAATGCTGTTTCTGCCAGGTCATGCCTTTATCAAGGGTGACACCGAGATACTTGGCAGAATTTGTCCATGGTACACGATTTCGATCTACAGAAACCTCTGCTGGGGGGCCGCGACTTTTTTTGCTACAATAAATAGCCTGCGTTTTCGAATGATTAATTTTTATCAGCCACCGTTCCGCCCACTCTAGAACTTCGTCCACCGCATTCTGCAACCCATCGTGAACCAGATCACCAGTACACGACTGGGCGACAAGTGCAGTGTCGTTAGCATAGAGATAGACTTCACAGTTGCTGGGCATGGATGAAAAGCGAATAAAGAATTGGTCCTAGGACTGAACCCTGAGGAACACCGGCCCGTACTGGCCGTGTTGTTGACAAAAAAATCATAACAGAAAGAGACAGGAGGTACAAAAGAGCAATAATTACACAAGCAGAGGATGACTGGGAATTAAACAAAGAGCAAAGAAACTTAGCAGTTAAAAAAATAAGAGAACAAAAGAGATACTTTTACCAAGAAAAAATTGATGAATCGAGAGGA